GAGTCGCTGAAGTGAGTTAGGGTTAAGTCCATTAACACATCTATGATGAAGTTAAATAGAAATGGGGATAATGGGCATCCCTGACGGACACCACTAGTGGTCACCACTTCAGATGACAACTCGTCGTAAGCCCTCACCTGGCTGCATGAGTTCTAGTAGAGTGTCTTGATCAGTGCGATGTACTTTCTCAGAATTCCCTTTACAGCCAAGCATCGCCAGAGTACCTCTCGGTCGACAGAATCGAATGTCACATTTAGGTCAAGAAATAAAATGACTGTTGGACGCCGGTAGGAATGCCTGTGTTCTAGAATCTGTTGAAGGGTGAAGATATGATCAATACACCCTCTTCCTGGTCTAAAGTCTGCCTGGCTCTCTTGTGTTTGTGCCTCCCGAGCACCACTTAATCTACGCATGATTATTGAGCCTAGGACTTTAGCTGCTTTATAAGTCAAGCTAATCCCTCTGTGATTATCACAGGAAGACTTGTCTCCCTTCTTGTATAGGGGGATAATCAGTGACTTACACCAACCCTATGGGACTTCCTGTGATTCCCAGACGCTGCCTAGAACCTCAGTTAATGCAGACAGTAAACTGTTTTTGATGTGGTTTTGTTCTCTGAGCTGGATGGTTAGTTTGCGAACTAACCATCCAGCTCAGAGAACAAAACCACATCAAAATCATCCACCTGAGCTACAAATCTTCTCTATGATATCTACAGTAAACTGTCTCCACCGTACTTAAATACCTCTGGAGTCATTCCATCAGGTCCCGCTACTTTGCCTAGTTTCAGATTAGTGACAGCTTTAGTAACCTCAGTTAAAGAAGGAAGACCTGTGTCTGTAACCCATTCAGGTAGGTGTTGGATGTTCGGAAGGTTGAGCGTGGCTGTGGGCCAATGAAACTGCTCCTCATAATGCTCTTTCCAGCGATCCAGTCGTCTATCCTGGGAGCTAATTATAGTGCCATTTTTTTCCGAGATTGTTTCACTAATGATTTGTCTTCTCCCACCCGTTTCCCTGATGAGTCTAAAGAGTTCCCTATCCTCGAAGCTTTCTCCATCTCTTTCGCCTTTGTCACCCACCACTGTTCACGGTCCTTGCGGAGACTTTTCGTAAGTTTCCTTTTGTGCAGCTTTCGCTCCTCATTGAATTCGGAGCTCGCCGGAATAAGTCTCCAAGCATCTATCAGTTCGGACGAGGATGTAGAGATCCAATGGTTTTTACTCACCTTTGGATTTACCTTATTCACTCCTTTTACAGCTGTATCTATGGCTGACTGAATATTCTTCCAGGCTTCTTCAGGGTGAGCACAGCTGTCGAACTCAGATATGTGTTTAGCTAGTTCTTCCTCAAATACGGATTTAGTTTCCTGATCGAGCTGGGAACGTGATGGGGTTACCGCCAGCTGTTTCCTACGTCCGTTTAGTTGTAAGCTCACCCGAGCGCGGAAAGTGCGTGATCGGTATCTACACACGTGTTCCAGAAGGAGCGACAATCTCCTACCGACCCACGCCAACGATAGTTTATTGCTATGTGGTCAATTTGTGTCCAGCGTTGGTTTGATGAAGGGGGTCGCCAGGTAAAATAGTGTCTCTCCTTGTGTTTGTAGTTAGTGCTTACAAGAAACGAATGATTATCTGAACAGAACTGTAGGAGACGGTCACCGTTGTCGGTTCGCTGGCACGGAACTCCATAGGTGCCACCGACATCCTTCTCAGTTTGACACAATTTCCCTATTTGAGCATTAAAGTCACCAGCTATAACGACCATATCTGAGCGTTTAGCCTTTCGCAACAAGCTAGACAGCTTTTGGTAGAACTCATCCTTCGTTCCATCCGAACTGCTGTCAGTGGGGGCGTAGGCGGAGATTACGACAAAAGGCATCGTCGAGTAGTGCAGTCCTTTCTCCTTCTTACTGATGCGTTCAGACGGACAGCGCACATTCTGCTATCTACTGGGATCCATTCAAGTAATGTCTTTTCTGCCCTAGTACTCAAAGCTATCCCTACACCAGCTAATCCTCGTGAACTAACTGTGGCATCTCCTGACACCCTCAAGGTGAATTTTACAGATTCATCCTGTTGGCCAGGTGAATAACCACACTTGGGTGTTGTATGCGTGTTTCTGAAACACAACATACATCAATGGCTCGGGATGCCAGAGTCTTGGCTAGTGATGCTTGTTGTCCTATTTGGAAAAGTGTCGTAACATTAAATGCTCCTATATGAAATTGGTGGCGTGGCTTTAGGAGACTATCGGTGGTGGTTTTTTGGCTTCCGTCGTTTTTAGTGGACACAGAGTGAAGAGCCATCAAGTAGAGGAGTTGCATCAGTGGAAGGAAGGCAAGATGATAGAGATGAAGAAGAAAAAGGATGAGTGTGTATTAGAGAGGTTTCGTGTGCATTTCGGAATGTGAGGGCGATAGTTGTTTCCCGGCTGCCCACACTGTGGAAGTTGTTTGCGTGACCGCAGAGCCCAAGGGACAACTGCTTGAGGCCGGTCACACGCTGCCTGTTTTTGTTTTTTCTTTATTGTTTGGTGTGTCTCAGTAGCAGATTTATCACTTCTGCCCTGTGACACGGCAGCAGGAGGCGCGGTCATTGTTAATCCGGGCCACGGCCGATCCGGCATGATATTTTGTGAGTTTGTTTGTATCATAGTATTGGATTGGGTAGCTGCTTTTTGTCTAACAGCTATCCAAACAACCTTTCTGGCATGGTAGGACCTCAAGTAACATAAGTCTCAGCCAGTATAGCTTGAATAGAGCATTGCGGTGTTCAAGCCCGACCACCGCGTCAAGGTAGCAGCTTTCGGTCGGGGTGCTTTTATTACCTGAAGCTTCTGCGCTTGATCACTAGTTAAGTCATGGAACTACAGAAGAGCCCTAAATCAGAAAGAAACGTATCAAGTATTTTTGGTTTCCAATGATTTTTGAAACCAAAGTCTGTCAGCTACGACATTCGTCCATGAAAGTGCAAATAAACAGTTCAGCGAAAAAATGATTTGGAATATGCCCATAAATTAATAAACAACATATTTGAAGACGTCGAATTCACAAGGGAAGTAGAATAAGATAACAAAATCCCATTTTTAGATGTTTTGATCAGGAGAACTAACGCAGGAAATTTAGAAACACAATCATACAGAAAATCAACGTACACAGACTAAATACTCAGCTACGGTAGTAATAACCCAGTTACCCACAAAAGAAACTGTGTGCAGACATTGTTTAAAAGAGATCAAACACAATGTAGCAATCCAGTGTTGAATAGAATGGAGGAAAAATACCCACTAACCGTCTTCAAAAAGAATGCATATCCTCACAATTTCAACAAAAAGTGTTTAAAGTCGAGTCACAACACCAACAAGAAACCGTCATCAAAGACTACAAGAAAATTCATCCCACCAAATATAAAAAATACCTCCGAAATAACAGCTAGAATATTAAGACCGTTTGAAATACATATAGTACACAAGCCAGACAGCCAGCCAGCACAATCACTTCATTCGGTATTGTGCAAACCAAAAGATTCAACAGAAAAAGAGGGTTAAATTAATACCATTTACAAAATAAGTCGTATGATCTGTAAAAGATATTACATCGGTCAAGGTGGGCGTCCCCTTTGAATCAGAATACAAGAGCACAAATTAGATGTAAAATGACATGATATATATTCTTTAGTATCAATGCATGTGGATAATTATGGACACCGATTTGATTGGGATAATGTTGAAATTTTAAGTGGAGGAAACACCAAAAGTGCCAGAGAATTCCCAGAAGCCTGGTACTCAAGTGAATCAGAGATTAACAAATATATTATTACAGACCAAAAATTAAATCACGTGACAAAAAAGTTCAAATTCCAAGTCAATAGAAAATGATCAATACACATGTAAATCGACTACCAGTGACGAAGAGAGAATTTAAATCAGTTCATTTTATGCTGGAACTTGCGCTGGAGACGTTGTCCAGAAGGACGACGAAAGCTTCGCAATCAAACCAACCAGCTGACAGAACACAACCAATTGAGAAATTTTGGCGAACAGTTACTTTTTGGCGAATTCATCCACTTGGCTGTACACTCGCAAATGTACATGTTTATTTTTTTCTGCGTGTGTACATTAAGTTTGTCAGACAACAATAAAAATTAGTTTGGAGTATTGTTTAAGTCATGAAAATATCTCAAAATAGTGATAAATAGCAAGTTTTTACAAGGAGGTGAAGGTCAGTAAGTTTAGACTGAAGTTGCGTAAAACGTTTGGAAAATTGGATTTTAATGGAAAAGCATGGAGACAAGTATCAAAATAAATTATGCAGTAGGTGTGGAGAGTTGACAAAAGGTTGGTTAAAATTATGTCAAAAAATGTCATACGAAAACATGCAAAAAGATGATAATGACAAAATATTGGTAAAAGTTGAGCTTGGAATTATACTCAAGGTAGGAGGGGATGGAGAAGTTTTGTGTGTCTACATACATCAGGGTATCCCATCCGAATAGTTAAGGCTTCACTAACGCTTATATCGCATTATTTTGTAAATTTAGCTATATGTATTCACTAGAGAATTGTTCACCCTGCAGAACAAATCTTGTACATTTGCTTTATTCAAATCAGCTTCCATTTTTATTATTTTATTCCTATACGTTCCCAGCGGAATACAAGACTTCAAGCCAGAGCTTCGAATTTTAGGTAGTAGTAGTGTGGTGGGAGCTGTCTGCTAGCCAAAATTGGTAGAGAGCAATTTACTTCAATGTTTACGTCCCATATATTGGTCATGAGAAAAAACCAGGAACAAAGACTAACTCAACAACCACTCACAGCAGACTTAGCGTGGGCGGATACAACTAACAGATATATCAACGGACTGCCTAAGAAATGGCAACAAAGAGATAACAGAATAACCTTCATCAGGAAAACAACCAATCAGAAGACGTTACCTCTCCGCTAACAATAACCAATAATAATGTACATAAAAATCTATAAATATCTGTTGATTTTCTCAATAAACGATCTGTTGCCTGGCCCCTGTCTTCTGTTGTTATGGTAGTAGTATTTATTTTCACGGGATGGGTTGCTAGCGTCATGCCCAACCTTCTCTCTTTACCAGTCTTATTACTGGCTTAGTGAGGTAAAGGAGTTCGTCGGCCGCGGATCGAACTCCGAACCACCTGCGTGGTTGGCGAGTATCCTACCACAGTGCCACCGACGCACAACTTACAAGTGTATTGCTGTAATGTTTGTAAAAGTAGCTCGTATAGTAATAGGAAAAATATCCCTGTATTCACTTCAAATATATTTATTTTCTTTGAAAGTCGTGACTATGCCTTGAAAGTTAAAGAAATTGAAAACAAATTAGACAAGATAATTGCACAAATATATATTAAACAAGTCAGATTTTTCAAAGGATGTGGTGACATAAAGCACGAAAGTATGGATAATGATGAACAGAAAACTTGTGCCAATGTGTCAATTAGCCGAGTGTAGGAATGTAAAAACTCCAGTTCATTCAAAGGACTAGAAAAGTGGGAAAGGATTTGAAAAAAGAACTTTTGAATTGATCTGAAAGTTTTCATTACAAATATTTAGGTACATGATATGATCCTCTTCTGAACAGAATACCCACCAACTGAAAGTAAGACAACACTTCCTTATAAATTCGTCTTTCTTTTTATTCAGGATGTGACATAAACAAAGTCTTCCCATCTTTTTTGATATACACTGTGTTTCTTTAACTTTAATTAGAATATAGTTTATTAATATTAACTATTGGTTTTTGAAAGACAAGTTATGATAATCTTCATTTTAAGAAGAAATAAAAATAAACAAACAAATCCAAAGCAGACAATAAAGTGAGGAAAATTTAATCACCAAAAGAAAGTATCTGTCTGTTGTATCCCATCACCACTTTAGATGAAATTGAAGTAACCACCATAACTCAAAAACTGCTAAAGAGGTACAGTGACAAACTGTGAAAGACATATCCTTCCTTATTTTACAAGAAAAACAGTATCAACTTTTATGGTTGGACATATATAATTCAGACATAATATCAAAATGATACAAAAGTGAGACTGCATTAAAAACAAAATACAAATGAGATAAGGGCCTCACATGTGTGTGGCACTCTTCTATCCAAGGAGGGAAGGAGGCTCTCTCCTTCAAAAACGCAGATGCATGCATCACCACTGAATACTATGCTCTGTACAAATAGCGGCTAATTCTTTACAAAAGTCTTCAAATATTACTGCACACAACACCATCCTCTGTATTCGTGATACATCAAGTAATAAATTTTCTTCATCTATCCATGCACCTCCTTTATTCTTATGACTATCTAAACTGGTTTTCTTCGTCGATAGTCTGAAACTTCTACGCTGACGTTGAATATGACCACCACTGATGCTACCAGTGTTATTCTTATCGCCATGAGCAGATACGTAATTATTTAATTGTTGAGTAACGCCAAAATTGGTTGGAAAAGTGAATTCGGTCATTGGTTTTTGCAAAATTTTTGAGAAATCAAGAAGATCTTTTGGATTCAAGATATTGCTAGAAGAGGATTTTCTGCTTTTATTAGTCTTTCTATTGTTTCTGTGGACAGTAATTCCACTACGATTCGTAGTAGGGTTGTTGGCCGTACTATTACTGTTTGTATTCTTGCTATTAGCCTTAGATGAAAGGCCAAACCATTTTCGAAAGTATGGACGGTTGTTTGAATTCATCACTGCAATAAACAAAAAACGTAGTAAGGTAGTTCTGACTGACAAGAAATTGAAATATTTTAATGAAAATATTACAACATAACTATGTATAAAAATTCTCTTTGTATGTGTTTACTTACTTTTTAAACAGAATGTCAAGGATGCATAATATCAGGGAAAATACCCATTGAGTCATGAAGAAAATAAAAGACAGATTCAGCGAAGAAATTTTCCCTTATCGACGAAATCATCTTCAGAGGCTGTACAGTCGTATTTATACTTAGAAAAATGTATAGTGGTCTATTATTGAGTAATAGGGGGGGGGTGTGACATAATTGATGTAATTAATCATAAGTGGCTTTAGAGGTGAAAATTAAAAGTTGTAAATTACATGGTACTCAACGGAACAAAGATAGAAGTTAGAAAAGGTTAAAATTGCTCTTGAGTGAGAATAAAGTTATTAGAGTGTCAATTTAACTCTAACTTCTATCTTTGTTCCGTTGAGTACCATATAATTTACAACTTTTAATTTTCACCTCTAAAGCCACTTATGATTAATTACATCAATTATGTCACCAACCCCCCCTATTACTCAATAATAGACCACTATACATTTTTCTAAGTATAAATACGACTGTACAGCCTCTGAAGATGATTTCGTCGATAAGGGAAAATTTCTTCGCTGAATCTGTCTTTTATGATGCATAATATGTCAAACATCAAAACATAAGCCTTAATGGAAAAGACGAAATATGTTTCTAACATTCCCTTTTACCCAAATTATATATTATACGCTCCATTTTTCTTCAGTTTAATTTAATAATATTTCTTTCTACTGGTCTATGAGGTTTTAAAGGATAACTGTAACTCTAGGCAGTCCAGAATTCACATTAAGGTACATAAATCCAGAAAACGTTTTCATCACATTTATTAATATAGACGGAGAATTTATCGCATAGATGTTTGTCAAAAGATAGTGCAAAATTGTTGACCATTCTAAATTGATCAGCTCACTGTTTTATTTAACTCTCCTCTTTGGTAATTAGGTTCCATTCAAAATATTTTATTGGTTTCATCATCTACGCTGATCTCTTCCCGGATAGAGATCTGGTTATCTGATATAATGTTCTCAGGTCTTCTCTACCTAAAGCCTGCCTGTTCTGCCTCAGTTGCCAGTGCGTCGAAGAATTGTCTTTCGTCTTTCTTCGCATTCTTCTTCACCTCTTTATTCAGTGAGACTTACATTGAAACCAGCTTCCCCTTCCGTTGTTCATCTTCACATTAATTCATCTTCTCTTGCATTATTCTCCTCTCTTCTGTTATCTTCCACGTCTTCGTAGACAGTCATTCCTTGTCTTGTCCCTTCTTTCTTCTTAAAACGGCTGTAAACTTTCCATTGAACATCACCTTCAGAGAGTACCAGTGTTCTTCCACACAGGTTTCCTCAGTGATGCAATGTAGTGTCTAAGACTTTGTTCTGATAGCTACAGTGAAGGTGTCTTTTGTAGTTTAGTCCTCCAGTTTCTGAATGCTGTACTTGAACTGTGGTCTGTCTCCAGTTGTTCTGAAGGATTTCAGCCTTACTTTGAAGGTTCCTTGCACTAGATGATGGTCTGAGCCCACATCTGTTCCTCTTCTGGACTTTGTGTCCAGATGGCTGCGTCTCCACATTCTTGAGCAAAATCGAGATGAAGTCTATCTGGTTTTCGGTGCATCCGTCAGTCGAAATCCATATCGTCTTGTGTATATCTTTGTGCTCGCACACACTGCCTCCAATCACCAAATAATTGAAAGCGCAGAAGTCTGCGAAGAGTTCTCCATTATCATTCATTTCACCGAGAACGTGTCGACCCATGATGAATTATCTTCGTGTATTTTCTGCTCCCATTTTGGGTTGCATTCATATCTCCCATGAGGATCTTGATGTTGCCGTTCAGGATGTTGTCCACTGCTTTTTACAGTTGTCGATGGAAATCGTCCTTCTGCTCTTATTCTGAGTTATTTGTGGGCGCGTGGCATTGTATGATAACTGAAACCTTCCTTCCTTTCTCCCTTCCTTTTGGGTTGTATCATGTGTCATAATTCTGGGGGGGGGTGGAGATCGGTTCTCACTCCATTAGAGCTTTGGCTGCTGTTGGTGACATCATGATAACCACTAACCACCTCAGTGTGCTCGTGGTTGTCGTCTGGGTGACCAGACCGGAGTAGATTACTGACTCTCGAATCGACAACTTGAAGAGTCCACATTCCTCCCATCCGCTCCCACAGATTTCTAGCACTTCCATTCCGTATTTTCTCATAATTTTAGCAATCCAAACAGCCTTCTCAGCTTCGAACATTGCATGAACATTCCACCTCCCTATCCTCATTTTTGCTTTCATCCAGCGAAATCATGTTGGCTGGCCGACTGGCTTCCCGAAGGCTTCCATCATTTCACCTCTCCGATTCCAGTGAAGAATAAGTTTGTGTTTAATGTTTTTGTTGTTCTTTGAAGTTTCTGTAGCGACTGGAGTGATTTTCTGGTGTGGCGTCGCTATCTCCATGCCCAACCCTCCTGTTTTCCTATGCTTTTGATCGATTAGAAAATCGACCAATTAGCGAACTATGCGATGTTATGCTTGACTTGCTTATATTGGCTTTCTTCTTCGTTTTCTAGATTGCGCATCCCTTGATTCAATCGTGTCTGCTGCATTGTATTCACGCTATCTTCTTTGTTTCTGTGATTGGTCGCGCTCTTACACAAGTAAGTTTTTGTCTGTTTTTAATTTTCTTTATAATTGCAGATCTCTTCTCAATTTTGACACCACTAGCGTAATTATGTCTTGGGAGAAAATCGCCTGCTGAATTTTCGTGTTAAATTAAAATGTAATGTAGAAATTTGACTAATTGATAGACTGTTGATAGAATGACTTCTAATTCAGCTACCGAAACAGACACAGAAATCATTCAGTTCTTTCTTGGTTAACAACTACTAGTTTTATTCTATAAGTGGAAGCACAACTACCAACACTCCGACGAAACCAGAAATTCTGAAGGCCATAAAAATGCTACAAACTGGAAAAGCAGCAGGACAAGATGGAATCCCAGCAGAAGCATTGAAAATGGACCCAGAGACAACAACGGACTTGATGACACCATCACTGAAGAAGCTGTGGAGAGAGGGTGAGGTGCCGGCGGATTGCAAGAAAGGCTACCTATTCAAACTGACAAAGAAATGAGACTCAAGTCAATGCAAAAACTGGCGCGGAATTATGCTCCTGTCTATTCCAAGCAAAATACTAAGCCCCATCATTGTGCAAAAAATATGCAGGAAGAAATGGAGGTGGGTTGGCCATACTCTGAGAAAACAAACCATCAAGTGACATCACACGACGGGCCACCGCTCGATTGGAACCCGAATAGGAAGCGGTGAGTAGGTCGTCAGTGCAAAGGTGACATGGAGGATGTCACGAGAAAGGGAGATGAAAGAATGTGGGCAGGCGTGGAGCCAGGTTAAAATCGTTGGCGGACATTCGAACGCAATGGAGACGTTCGGCTGAAGCCTTATTTTCGTCTAGGAACTAAAGGAGACAATAATAATATGCTGAAATAAAGTGAAGGGTTGTAGTCATGCGCTATTATATGTGTGTTAACCAGTTTGAACTAACGTCGACACAGTGGTCATGATTATTTAGAGAAATACTTCAACAATGTAATATTAACGGGAGTGAGCTTTTAATGAATACTGTGGCTGTTGATAACTGTTTTAGGCAAGTAGGTGTAAGTCGAATAAATGGAATTCTGACCGTTTCGAAATAATGGTTACAGGTTTTATATTTAATAATATGCAACTCGTAATGATGGCTCTTCATTAAAGGCTTAAACATCTCATCAGCCAATACTGTCTTTTCTTATTTCCAGTTGTTCTCCCTTTAATTATCATTTTAGTGTCGGCACACTTTTGTGAAATGTGGTTTCTTAGTGTTATCAGGTCACATCTCACTGTATGACAGGTTTTATGTATTTTTAGCAGTTTGTAAGTCTACCAATTGAGTTGTTTGTCTATTTATATGAATAAAATACCATTCCTACCAATTGTTATACTGAAAGAACTTATTTATTTGATATTGTAGAATTAAACAGAGAGTCCCTACAATTAGTTGGACTGAACACAAACACTCTAAACACTGGACGGCCGTTTCGCTCAGTTGGGGCTCAGCTTATCAGCAGTGTGCCTGGTTAAACTCACCTCATAGGGAACCGAACTAGTTCAAACCACGCGAATTCTGTTTCAAGGGGAAAATGTGGTGAAATTTCACATCGAACCGTGCAAATTGCAAATTTAAATCAGTCTACAAATTGTTAATTTGAATAATTTAAATGACAGAAACTGTTATTATTGGCATTAGTCGGTGATATCTGAAGGCGGCATCAATAAGTTTCATTTTGGTACATCCGCTACTTGAACGGATACCTTAATTTCTAACTTGTAACTGTTTGTTTGATGTCAGATAGTGAAATCCGGGAATGTAAATATATTCAGGTGGTGAGTGCTAAGTAGGATGAAACGTGTGTCCTTTTTAGATGCTGCTGCGCACTACCAGTTTAGTAATTAACAAGTATGATTATGTGTCAACAGACAATAGGTAATAGGTATCATGAAGAATGTGATATGGCTCATGTTGCGTATACTTAGTCAGGCAGAAAAAAGTGGTTTTCGAAATAAATAAATTTAGACAACTTACTGGGAGATATGTCTGGTTTACCTGTTGGAAGATATTTTGATTCTTTATGAGAAGTATTTGAATCTTTTTCTTTTTTCTTTATACTGCCAAACTCTGAAACTGATGACATATTAACCGGCAGTAGCTTAGATGGATCAATTATTTCATAATTTAAATAACGGCGCGCTTCTTGTTTTAATTCATTGAACGTATAACCATTCAAGGTTTCCAATAATCCAAAATGTTTAACTTGTCTTGTATACAAGGCAGCAAATACATCAATTTGCTGTTTAATTGAACGCAAAATATTATAGGGTAAATAGCATAAGATATCATTATGCAAAGCACGGAATTTTGTATTACACTCTGAATTATTCATGATGTACTGAGATAACTCGGATGTGTTAGATAAAAAAATCATTGCTCTTAACAATGGTATAGGATATGATGCCAAACTGGATACTAAGTTAGTCAGATATAGATTAGCGTAGAAACAGTTATTGGTGAAATTCTCTAAACGATTCAACAGAGTAGTTAAAAATGGACCTAAAATACAAAAAGAAAGATAGAAGAAACCCAAAAATCGGGTTACAATAAAAATATTTTTAATGACAATTACTTAAAAAGATCATATTAGATTTGAGATAAATTATTTAGGGCAGGTGCTGTTCACGAATATTAGTATTAGTAGTCAAATACTAAGAACGTAGTTTCGCTTTCTAAAATAGATTACATAGAATTCTTAGGTTTTATCATGTGTACAGACCGAGATTTATGAGCAGTAAACTAATTAAGTTGGCTTGTAGTTTTAAATTAAGCAGACTTTCGGTAGATTAGGCAAGGCTTGGCTGCCTTGAGAAGTCTAAATAAATAAGTAAGTACCTAGAAACCACCAATCACTAACTAGTAAACAGTTTCCTTTCACATTAGTGAATAATTCATCAGATGAGTTAGGAATCAGGTTTTCAAGCCGATGTGCTACTTCTCTCTTTATTTGTTATGATTGCATTTACAGGACAATCCAAATGCTCCTTTCTTGGAATTATTCTGCCCCACTCTCTAGTATTTTGTTAACTATGACTGCCTTTTATGCTATGTAAGTTGATACTAAATGGTGTAGTTGTGTTCTCTGAGCTAGATTGTTTAGTTGTGAAGTTTCCATTGTCTTTCTAGATAACAATATTCAACGCATACTTCAATTTGAAGTGAGCTTTTAGAATTTTTTTTCACAGGTTTATCGGCTATCTCTATTCATAACTTTCAACGTGACTCGTTATTTATGAATATTATTCCACCCTCTTTATTTATTATGTTATTTATTTATTGCTCCCTTGGGTTCCTAGTGGAACATAGGGCTTCAACTGCACGTCTCCATTTTCTTCTGTCTTCTGCTGTAGTTTTCGCCTGCATCCATGTTAGTCCATATTCTTTCAACTCCTCTTCACACGATCTCCTCCACGTCACCCTTGAACGTCCCACACGCCGCTTCCCTTTCGGGTTCCACTCGAGGGCTTGACGCGCGATGTCTCCCAGCGGTCTCCTCAGCGAGTGTCCGATCTATCTCCACTTTCCCTGCATATTTGTTGGGCGATCGGTTCTTGCTTTGTTTGTTCCCATAATTCGTTGTTGGTGATTCTTTCCGGCCATCTGATCTTCAGTATAGAGCCAGCGAAGACAGTTGTTAATAAATGTCTGCAACCTTTTGGAAATATTCTTTGTGACCCGCACGCCAAGTTTCTGATCCGTATAGAAGAACTGACTTTACGTTTGTATTGAAAATCCGAATTTTGTTGGTGATGCTGAGTGACGAAGATTTCCAGACTGATTTCAGGTTGATGAATGTGTTTCTCGCCTTCCCGATTCTCGATTTGACATCCTCGTCCGCTCCTCCTGCAGTTGAGACAATGCTCCCTAGATAAGTGAGTGAATGAACTAACCTCTTTCAAATCCCTCCCATTGATGGTGATTGGCGTTGGACGTTGTTGCTGTTGTTGGTTGGTTATTTTCATAATCTCCGTCTTGTCGATGTTCACTTAGAGTCCCGTCTTTGCTGCTTCTTCGACCAGTTTGTCGGTTTTCGCTTGTAAGTCTTCGATTTTGTGTGACATCAAACATAAGTCATCCACGCGCGAAATCCAGGTCTTCTAGGTTCTTCACGTCGGTCCAGGATATTCCTGTCTTCTCGTTTCAGACTGTCTGACGCATAATCCAGTCAGTCCACCACAATTAGGTATATCATTGGTGATAGTAAGCACCCTTGTCTGACTCCTGTGTTTACTCCAAACGCCTTGCTGAGTTTTCCGTTGTGGATCACTTGACATGTGCCGTTGTCGTACAGCTGTTGAATTAGGTTGATGAATGTTTGAGGTACGCCATAGTACTCGAGTAATTTCCAAATTACTTCACGATCAACGCTGTCGAAGGCCTTCTCAAAGTTTATAAAGTTGAGGTAGAGGTTTGATTGCCGTTCCATGCTTTGTTCTGTGATGATGATGCGTAGAGTTGCAATTTGGTCAGTACATGATTTGCCTTTCCTGAATCCAGTTTATCAATGTTTAAAAAACATTACTTGATTTATAAAATTAAAAATGCACAAAAGTTTACCATATGAAAAACAACCTTAATCTATTTCATCCTAAGAGCATGTACACTCATTCATCAATGCAAAACAGAAGTAGGCACATTCAACTATGAAATATTTAGAATTTACAAAGTATAAATCAAAAATAAAAGAATTAACGAAATTAGATCACTTAGATTTACTTACCTAAATTTGGATCAGTTGTATGGGAATCTATACCTTTTTCCTGAGTTGAGGTTGTCGTAGATAGGTAACATGTATCGTTAACACTGTTGTTCACATTTAATAAATTTGCATTATAGACTAACGATTCTTTATAGGTGTTCTGTGATAAATGCTGTATAGTTTCTAAGTATGCACTAGATGTTGTTGATGAGACAGTAGATGTGCTAAGTCGCTTTTTAGAAGAAAGTATTGCAACTTTAAAAGGTGATGATAATAGTGTTGAATGTTTTACACAGTTAAATGAATAATTTTCATTATTTATTCTATTCAGATCATTAATTTTTTCATCTATTGTCATAGCTTTTAATGAACAAGGACTATTACAGTCATTATTTTCATCCGAAGATGAGTCATTTGAACGAGTTTGTATTAAGTTACTTAACGATCCGTGAGTGAAACCAATTTCACGGTAATCTAGACGATGATGATGTCGACATTGATTGTTACTATCAATTAGCTTATTTTTAGATAAGCCTCCAAATGTTTCATGTGTAGCATTAACGTTTGTATTTGAATGGTAAATTAAGTGTTCGTCATTGAATGATTCATTATTTTCCAGTTTTGGTGTACTTGTTTTTCGCGAAAACGATGTCGTAATCAGGGGAACATCGTATAACTTTCCTTGGAAATCGTTACTGTTATTATTATTATTATTAAATTCCATGGTTAGTTCATGTAAACTACGTGATTTTAACCGTTTTAGTAATGTATCGAAATACTGATATGCCTCATTTGTATAACTGTTCAAACACGATAAACTACCATATTTAGGAATGATTACATTTTCAATAGTCCTACTGATAGCATGTCCCGTGCTCAATTCTTGAGAATTATTGAAGTCCATAGGTAAACTTTCAGGTGGCATAGTTTCTAATTCTTCTATAAACTTATTTAACTCATAAGAGTGATTTTCATAACTATCATCAGTGGAGTTTACTTCATTAAAGTCAGATTCATTTTGCTGAATGAAAGAATTATCTTGAGGTTTATCTTGATTGCCTTCCGATTGGTTGGTTCTAGAATATTCATTAAATTCATGCGATATATTCAAATTACTCTTTTCAAGATTAGTAGTGTCATTTTGAACTGGGTAAATATTTTCGCTCTTATTGGCCATCAGTTGGTCACATATATCAGCTGAGTCAAGAAAGCTAAGACAGTACCAAGACTTGATTGAAGTCTTATCATCAGACTTCATATGGTGATAATTATCATGATTTAAACATTCATTAGAATATAATGGTGGTAGTTTAGAATTCCTTAAGATGGAACAGAGATGTCGATCAACAGAACTGGATGTTGTCATAGGATTTTTCAACAAATTATTACTACTATTCATGTGAATCCCCTTATCAAGTAAATGTTTCTCCCTTGATGATAATTCGTCATTATCTTCTGTAATAGTTGTTTGACACTCATCTAAATTCTCTGAACCGTCTAAAACAAGATCAGTTTCAATATTCAATTTTTTCGCAGCCGTACACAATGCTTTAGCATGTAATTCATTCTCTTTCATTTTCACTTCCAGATTAGTACAACAATTTCTGTTAATGAAACACTTATACTCTGTATACGTTTTATACGGATCTAAACCAAGACGACAATCACATTCAGAGAATTTCCTTGTTTTTTGATAACATGTTGAAAATTCCTTTTCGATCATTTGTATATTTTTTAGGTTTTCATTTAATATATTAATTTGTTCGATAGTTGGTTGGACCGCATCAAATGTTAACTGCCAAGTTTTACAAGCATGTTTACGTATTTTTATAGTTTGATGTGCCCAGGATGTATAAGATAACCAGTCAAGCATTGGATTTGGTGAGTTGACAAGTACAGGAGAAGAGTTATTCGAATTATTGTTAGTAGGTGAAGATGATGATGACGATGGTGATAACGAAAGATTGGAAGACACTTTTATTGTTGTTTGCTGTGAAAAGTCACTAAGATGACTAGCACTTCCATTATTGTTAACATCATCATTATCGTCCAGTTGAAGATCATTTCTATAATTATTCATGATAAGTGAATTAGCAGTTAATTCTGCATGGGGGATTAATAAATGACTGGCTAGAAATTGACCACCAACTGGTAGGTTGTCCAAATGCATTGCAATTGATGGACTTTTTGTATCTGAAACGTAGAAATGAAAGCAAAGCAAAATGTAGCAAATGTTATCAAATAATATATTAAAGTAACGAATATAACATGTAATAAATGTTTCGTCGACCACACTAAATATGCAAGAAACTGCTAATCCTATAGTTCGATTACCCTAATTGTGAAAATGATTAAGCCAGAGGATTTCTTGCTATTCACCTTCATTAGGCTAACTGGAGTTCAAGAATTATCATATACGCGTTAATAAAAGGCACGATTAAAATGTATAGATGATTGGAATTGATGAAGAAGTAAAAGTGTAATATTTTGCATTTCTGTAAGATTTATGCTTGACATATAACGAAAAATACATACTAGCAGCGGCAGCGGTCTTGTTTTTGTTTCTACAACCTAAGAGTGGATACCACATTTTACAATATTTCTGAGCGAAAAATGTAGCTTTTTGTTGGAGATTAGAGAATAAATCTGTCCTACACAATCATAGTTAATACTTTTTCGGAAATGTTCCTAACATTTATCCTGGCAGTTATTTCATTGAAAAAAAATAAAAGCTCAGGTTGACTAGAACTCAGTTACTTGAAACTGATTTTTCATTTGTTAAGCTATAAGTGATACATATCGCTTGAGGACTGATGATACTGTCCAGCTGCATAGAGCAAAGTAAGTGAAACAAGACTGGAGCCCAGCACCTAATGGGGGTAATAGTCAAATGCTCAAGCTAGTAAGCCACAATTCCAATTCAAGATACTTTTGCTTAAAGCATTTCTGTACATAATAAGAACATCTGGTTGTGATTTAGAAAATTGTGATGTTATGCCCGAAACACCAAGTAAATGATACTGTTTCAGAAGTGTTTCTGACGAGAAGTTTGCAGTATTAATAGCCTATGAAACAGATGGCGATATTTAGTCACAACTGTTTTGTTAGTACAGATAATTAATTGCATCGCGACTTTTACACAGTTCGGTTAGGTGCGCAACTAATGGTTTTAACTGCCAGCATCGAAGTAGAGACACTGATGATATTGATTTTGTGACTGAGACTTGAATTTTTCAAGAAAATAATCAGTAAACTTTAAATAATCAAGTTTCTTTAAAAACAAAAACGCATCAATGCAATCTGTTTAGATTCTTCCTTACTTCAAAAAGTATAAGGCAAACGCAAATACGTTTCAGGTTATATCGCGGATTCCCAACACTTAGAGGACAATTGAAAACCAGGTTAGTGCTGGACAACCATTTCTTCCTAGTTTGTGACTTTTCAGGAAGCGCACCCATGACCGCACCAGAGATTAAACCCATGACCTTCAGGTTACAAGGCAAGCCCATTGACCATTCGGATACAGGAAGGATCTAATGACTCATGAATTCTCACTTCTCTCAATTTTTGAATAAAAACATCGCTTAGCCAGTGTTATTGATGGATACTGATCCTCTCACCCGACCTGATGAACCCCAGTGGTCGGGGCCTCTCACTAGAACTTCCGGCAACTTCGTCCTGTAGCAAGTCACTAGCAAGTATTAGATTACCGAGATTTGACTGATTTTTCAAACTGACAGAAGTAAGAATTCATAGGCCACTGAGTTTTATCCGGTTAAGATTGCGCGCGCTTTTCGACTACTGCGCTACATTTTGCTTATTAATAAAAACTCTTATTTCTGTAAAATTTTATGCCAAGAGTTTGCGGAAACTATCACAATTATTAACCTTTCGAACACTGAATCCAAAAAATACAATCTTATTGACAGATAATACACATAACTCACTGTTTGGATTTGTGGAATTTTTAAACATAAACACATCTATAATTGTATATATTGTTGGATTTATATGTTCAAGTTGCTCCAAGTCAGTGAGTTTATGGTTAAGATATCATTTTAGTTAACTGTACTGAACTATATTGCATGTTGTCTTATTGTATAGTTGTCGTCGCTTTTTGCCCTTTTTTCTGTGAACTGTTTCCTTTGTTGATGTTGTTCTCATTGTTTGTCCGTTATTTTCTGATTTTGAGGGGAGCAACCCAAAAAGTTGCTTCTCTCTAAACTTTAACTTAATGTAATCATTCTTTTCTCAGGCGTGAGGCTAGCAACCCCACCCTGTAAACAAAGTTGCTACAGAACCTTCAGCAGAATGAACCTCTTTGCACCAAAAGAAAAAGTCTGTGTGGGAACATGGAACGTCCGAACTATGTACGAGACTGGGAAAGCTGCCCAGATCGCCAACGAGATGAAAAGATACGGAATACAAGTGCTGGGAATATGTGAAAGCAGATGGAATGGGAGTGGACTCACCAAATTGTCAACAGGTGAGTCAGTGATCTACTCCGGTCACCCAGAAGATAACCACACGCACACCGAGGGCGTGGCTATCATGATGTCACCAACGGCAACGAAAGCCCTGATACAATGGGAGGCGATTTCGTCCAGGATAATGACCGCCAGGTTCAACTCCAAAGGAAGGAAAGTGTCAATCATACAATGTTATGCACCCACAAACAACGCAGACCTCGAAAAGAAAGAAGAATTCTACAGGCAACTACAGGCAACAATGGACAATACTCCAGCTGGCGACATGAAAATACTAATGGGAGACATGAACGCCAAACTGGGACCAGACAATACAGGAAGGGAACTCATCATGGGTAGAGAAGCTCTAGGAGAAATGAATGAAAACGGAGAACTCTTCGCCGACTTCTGCGCCTTCAACGAACTGGTGATTGGTGGCAGTGTATACAAGCACAAAGATATCCACAAGGCTACATGGGTGTCACCAGACGGGCAAACCAAAAACCAAATCGACTTCATCTCAATCTCAAGGAAGTGGAGGCGCAGCCTACTGGACACAAAAGCAAGAAGAGGAGCAGACGTTGGCTCAGACCACTATCTCGTACAAGGGACAATCCAAATCAAATTAAAAGCTTTCAGGGAATCAGGAGCTGCAGATAGACCACAAGCCAAGTTCAACACTCAAAAGCTGAAGGACCAGGCTACAAAGGACATCTTCATTGCAAGCATAAAGGACAAAGCCGAGACACAAATCAACACTAGCGAAGAGGTCGGCGTCGAAAAGCACTGGAACAACTTGAAAACGGTGTGGAGCCAAACCTGCATAGAAATTCTAGGCAGAAAAAAGAGACAGGACAAACAGTGGCTCACTACGGACACTTGGAAACTAATAGAAGAGAGAAGGACAGTGAAGCAAAAGATTATCCAGTGCACTGACGAGCAACAAAAACAGGAGCTGAATGCAAGCTACAATACACTGAACAAAAGAGTGAAGAAAGTGCCAGGGAAGACAAAAGAAAATATTATGAAACCATGGCAAACGAAGCAGAACAAGCTGCAGGCAAAGGAGACCTCGCCACACTCTACCAAACAACTAGGAACCTTTCGGGCAAACGTTCGACACAGATTAAGCCAATAAAGGACGACAATGGAAAGTCAATCACCAAAGAGGTGGAACAGAGAAAGCACTGGGTTGAACACTTCAAAAGACTTCTAAATCGTCCGCCACCTACAACACGTCCAGCAATACCAACAACGGAAGCAGAACTACCAGTGAACACTGACCCCCCGACGAAATCAGAAGTCCTGAATGCAATCAAGATGCTTAAAGCTGGGAAAACACCGGGACCAGATGGAATCCCAGCAGAGGCTTTGAAAATAGACCCAGAGACAACAGCGGACTTGATGACACCACTGCTGGAGAAGGTGTGGAAAGAGGGCAAAGTACCCGAGGATTGGAAGAACGGATACTTATTCAAACTTCCAAAGAAAGGAGACTTAAGTCAATGTAAAAACTGGCGTGGAATTATGCTTCTGTCCATTCCAAGCAAGATACTAAGTCGCATCATCCTGGAGAGAATCAAACAAGCCCTAGATGAAAAACTTCGTCCGGAACAGGCTGGATTCAGGAGAAACAAATCATGTATTGATCAAATCGCCACTCTACGGATCATCATTGAACAAAGCTTGGAATGGCAGTCACCTCTCTATCTCAACTTCATCGACTTTGAAAAGGCCTTCGACAGCGTCGATCGAGAGGTCATTTGGAAACTACTTCGCTACTACGGGGTCCCATCGACAATTATACACCTCATCCAACAGTTATACGACAATGCTGCATGCCAAGTAATCCACAACGGGAAACTTACGGAAGCCTTCGAAGTGAGGACGGGAGTGAGGCAAGGCTGTCTACTATCACCAATGATCTTCCTGATTGCAATTGATTGGATAATGCGACAGACAACGGCAACCAACGAGGGAACAGGCATAAAATGGACTGACACAAAAGACTTGGAGGATCTGGATTTCGCCGATGATATATGTCTGATTTCCCATAAACTGGAAGATATGCAAATGAAAAGTAACAAGTTGGCAGAAGAAGCATCAAAGATAGGACTTCACGTGAACATAGATAAAACAGAGATGATGAAGATTCCTAGCCAACATCAACAGCAACAACAACAACAGACAACAATAAGCATAAATGGGAAGAACCTGAAAGAAACAACCTCCTTCACCTACCTGGGAAGCATCGTCTCAACTACAGGCGGAACTGACGAGGACATCAAAGCCAGAATCGGAAAAGCAAGACAAGCTTTCATTACTCTCAAATCTGTGTGGAGGTCAACAGCACTCAGCATCAAAAATAAGATCCGGATTTTCAACTCCAATGTGAAGTCAGTGCTACTATACGGATCAGAGACTTGGCGAGTCATAAAGAGCATCTCAAACAAACTTCAAACCTTCATTAACAACTGTCTCCGCTCAATACTCAAGATCAGATGGCCAGAAAAGATCAGCAACAGGGATCTCTGGGAGCGAACCAATCAGGAACCGATTGTGAAACAAATAGGCAGAAAGAAATGGAGATGGATTGGCCATACGCTGAGGAAACCATCAAGTGACATCACTAGACAAGCCCTCGAGTGGAACCCGAAAGGGAGGCGGCGAGTTGGTCGTCCAAGGGTGACTTGGAGGAGGTCATGCGAGGAGGAGATGAAAGCATGTGGACAGACCTGGAGCAGGGTGAAAAAGTTGTCAGAAAACCGAAGTCAATGGAGGTGCGCAGCTGAAGCCCTATGTTCCTCTAGGAACTAAAGGATACAATAATAACAATAATAATGAGTTTTATCCAAGTGGCTGAGTGGTCAACAGACTCTCCTGGCAACCTGAAAGTTCACGCTTCCATTCCTATAGGCTCATAGGTGAGTACTTTTGAAGAGTCTAGTGCTGTCCCTGGTTTCCAATATTCCTATGACTGATAAAAATCCCTGATCTAACTTGAAACCAATCAAATCCCTGCAAACCGACACTCGAAAATAAAATGTTTGTTTAAAAACGTTTATATCCTGTTGAGAAGTTGGGTACAAGCCACTGAAAAGTCCCGAAGTAGATCAAGACGGATGTCTAGTGGTCCACGCTTTCCAGAAGTCCTCAAAGTGCTGTCGTTCTGTGACAAAATTCACCACTGAAATGAAGGGATACAAATATTTGCTCATGGCATTTTTCATAAATGTCTTAGGACAGTATTTCACGCTTCAGAGAACTTTAAATTTGTTTTGGTTATTTAAACTTATTTAGTATTGCCATTATAAATTCTCCATATCAACACTTTTAATTTTAATTTTATCATCTATATATTGTTAATTCTACTTATTAAGTTTGAACTGAGAAAATAAAAATCAAGTGAAAAAAATTCTAGCCAACCAAATCGGACGTTTTTAGTGGAAACATTCATAAACGGTTACGCCTTATTGCCACACCTTTATTCCATTTCCTCTAATGAAATATACTAATATCTTTGATTTATTATTATTAGTCTTACTGTTATTATTGTTGTTTTTTTCATTTTGAATGTATTCAGCTTATCATTGGAATGTAACGTATGTATCGACTAGCGCTGAAGTGTCAGGGAATCAGAAAATCATTCTTAAGTGAGGCGTAAGTTTTCCCAAAAGTCGCACACTTAAACTGCTGCAGTTTAACAAAGTAGTCAAAAATGTCATCGTTTGACGGGAGCGATTCATACAGCAAACTGAGATCTCTGATTGCATTTACTGTTGGCTAAATAATGACCTTAAGTTGTAGAAGTAAGTTTGAGTCGAGAAGTAAACAACATTAGTTTGTTTTTTATTCTCTAGCAGACAGTGTGTTTACACACCAACTAATCGAGTTTTCCCGAATTGTTTTTTTCTTTTATAGCAGTTCGTAAAGGTTGTATTTTATTTTTAACATTCGCGACTGATAAATAAACCATTACAAATGATATGGTGAAATAACAATGAAAATGTCATATCATTTAACAACTACATTGGCGCCTAGTTTAGTAGGCTATAATTCACCCTTACCTTACTAGTATTGATGACTGTAAGTATGTGGAGTGGGAACTTGTGATTATTACTATCATTCATTCCATGTGCTCTGAGTGACTCTAATGAACTAATACTGTTATCTTCAAATGATAGGTGTCTTGTTACTAAGATGTTTAATAAGCATCAAGACAAAAGCTTCTCACGGACACGGAATGTAATCGTGTTAGTCCAGTACAGAACGCACTATTCCTTCAAGTGATGGGAGATAAACATTGGATCTGTCACTCACTGAAATGGATACACATACAGCTGAAAAATTCCATGTAGAACAAACCTCTGGTTTTAGATTCAGGAAACGAGCGGTAAGTAACTTACGGCTATATCACCCCTTAAAATTACACAACATTAACACCACTGAAATTTCAAACCTCAAGCTAGAGGCCATATGTTCCAGTCAGAATGCAAAGTAATGAGAAAAATAAATTGTATGATATATGGTGATATCCTATTCAGGATACAAAGTCACACGAATAGATTACAGATTGATGAGGGTTCAGACGACGGGATTGAAAGAAATTGGTTATCAATATAGAAAGCACTAAAATAAGATAAAAAAAAGCCCAGTGAATAATACTACAAGAAGTATAGCACAAACTGCTTCACCGACATTTAGTGAAGTTTTCCCAATATACATTTCTACATCATTTTTCACTGTCTTTTTACATATTTCTGAAAACAAGTAGGACTTTAACGTCTGGACAATAAGCCATAAGACTAATACCAAGGTTCATGATGCTTATTGACAGCTAAATGTAAGACATATTGAGTTAGTTTGAAATCTGTAAGTCAATGATTGTATATTGAGTGACCAAATTATTGAAACATATTTCTGCGCAAAAGTATATATATATATATATATATATATATATATATATATATATATATATTCAGAGGAAATGAAAATTAGAAGCATAATTTTATACGACATATCTTCCTGCATGTTAAACAAATAAGCAAAGTTGATAGTGTCACGAGTGATATGTTATTGTTGATAAACAACAGATTCTAACTACAAAATAATACTTCTGATAATACCGTTAAATAATTAGCAAAATAACATTTACTTACTTAAAGCTTCTAGTCCTTCACTATTAGGGACCTCTTGACGAGTTGTTGCACCCGAAGAATTGTTTTCTATATCATCAATATCTAACTGGGCTACTGCTTCACTACAGACGCTACCACAAATAGTACTGACACTATGTGAGTGATTCGGGACAGAACGATGATGTCGATGAGGTTGACTAGTATCATTAATTATCTTTTCTTTCCCTGTAACTCTATTAATAACATAATCATTTGATGCAGGATAGTATCCAGCCGAAGACTGATTGTATGTTGTCGATGATAAATCAAGAATTTTCGTCGAAGTATTAGTAAAACTGCTTGCGTCTGGCCACGTCCAGCCAATACTGAAAAGATCATCTCTGACAGAGATTAAATGCCTAAAAATAAGAGAAGAAAAATTAACCCGTTGTAAACATTATAAGTAAAATTCTGTTAGAGGCCAGTGTTGCAAAACATAATGGTAAAAACCCTATAAGACGAGTAGATAACGGCTTGATTTCGGTTAGAGAAGCACTGAAAACCAGGGAGTACTAGACAGCCGTTTCATCCTAGTTTAGGAATCATCGGAAGCATGCACCCAGTGGGTGCGTCAAAACAAATCTAATCCTGAGACATCAACTATTGGAAAACCCTATAAGAACCGACTTATCTTATTCATTCAGTCCTGAAAAGAAAACAGGTATAAAAAATTCAAAACTTCAAAGAGAATGCGAAATTCTTCAGAGTTGCAGAATTTTTTTGTTAATCAATAACAAGTACACAAAACCTAAACCTCGCTTGCTTTATCAGCACGCTGGTTTTCTAGCTAGTCCTAAGACCCGTAAAACGAGCAATATTGGGTGCAAGGCTAGCGACACCACACCAGAAAATCACTCCAGTCGCTACAGAAACTTCAAAGAACAACAAAAACATTAAACACAAACTTATTCTTCACTGGAATCGGAGAGGTGAAATGACACTGGCTGATGGAAGCCTTCGGGAAGCCGGTCGGCCAGCCAACATGATTTCGCTGGATGAAAGAAAAAATGAGGATAGGGAGGTGGAATGTTCATGCAATGTTCGAAGCTGAGAAGGCTGTTTGGATTGCTAAAATTATGAGAAAATACGGAATGGAAGTGCTAGAAATCTGTGGGAGCGGATGGGAGGAATGTGGACTCTTCAAGTTGTCGATTCGAGAGTCAGTAATCTACTCCGGTCTGGTCACATAGACGACAACCACGAGCACACTGAGGTGGTTAGTGGTTATCATGATGTCACCAACAGCAGCCAAAGCTCTAATGGAGTGAGAACCAATCTCCACACCCCCCCAGAATTATGACATATGATACAACCCGAAAGGAAGGGAGAAAGGAAGGAAGGAAGGACAATGGTTCAAGGCTATCGTTAAATACGGCACGTTTGAAGATTTCAAAACCAGAATCGGAAAGACAAAGCACACCTTCATCACGCTGAAATCAGTTTGGAAAGCTACTGCACTCAGCACAAAGAACAAAATTCGGATTTTCAACAGTAATTTAAAGTCAGTCCTTCTATATGAGTCAGGAACTTGACGCGTCACGACAAACGTTTCCAACAGTCTGATGCAGACTTTTGTCAACAGCTGCCTTCGCTGGCTCCATACTGTAGATCAGATGGCCAGTTGGAAGGGAAAAGTGTCAGGGAACTCTGGGAATGAACGAACCAACTAACAACCTACTGCTCAACAAATATGCCGAAGAAAATTGAGGTGGATCGGACACACACTGAGGAGACCGTTGGGTGCCATCGCGCTTTGCCAGCACCCGATTGGAAACCGAATGGGAAACGATGGGTTGAGCATCCGAGAGTGACATGAAGGAGATCGTGAGAGGTGGGAACTAGAGACTATGGACAATCGCGAGATCAGCTGAAGGGAACCGCAGAGAACAGGACAAAGTGGTGATGTGGTGTTGAGGCTCTATTTTCCACGCAGAATCCAGGTGTAGAATTATATTGATGGTAGCAATAAGTTAATGTGTCGGGCATTTACATATGTTTGCCGCATAAATATAATACACCGGTAAGGTAAATCACGCAACGAAGTAACTTCCGTGCAAAGTTGATTAGCAGATATCGATCATCACTAAGAGAGTGATAGTTGTAACTGAAATTATCTGGCGTTAAGGATATACAGGCTTCTTTTTTTCCTTCACGTTCCCCAGTGGAACATAGGGCTTCAAACAAGTGGCTTGAAGTTTCTGTAGCAGTGTGCATTTTACAGGATGGGGTTGGTAGCCTCATGCCCAACCTTTCCTCTGCACCAGCGTTATTTCTGGCTTAGCGAGGTAAAGGAATGCGTCGGCCGAGGATCGAACCCCGGACCATGTGCATGGTCGGCGAGCGTCCTAACTGCTATGCCACCAACGCACTTTAAGGATTATGATCTGCGAAAAACATTTCCTTATAGACAGTTCAACAGTTACATTTAAAGGTGGGACATAATGTTGTTCATTATTCTGTATACCATATGAGTGCTATCTTTCTACTCGTAGTTACTAATATGACTAAATGTTTGTATGCACTACTAAAAACACATTCATTCATATCATCCTTCATTAATCGAATCATTATAAATTGAAAAGTTACAGATTATTATTATCAGTGAATATTAAACTAAAATAATGTTACAGTTATTATCCCGTTAGATGTGGATAGCTGAAAACAAGTCACGTCAAATAGTTGTGTCTGGTGGACTTCTACTTAAGAAAACTGGAAACCCCTTGAGACACGTTTGTCATTTAAAAGTGAACATTCTCCATAGTTTCCACAGGAAACTAAAAATATTCAGATCACAATATGTGATTCGCTTGGTCGCATAAACAGAAGTTAATCAGTGGTATATTTCGCTTGCTTCCTTGATCGTCATTTAAGATCGTCGGTGGCACAGTGGTTAGGACTCGCCGACCATGCACATGGTCCGGGGTTCGAGCCAAACCCGACGCACACCTGATATCTATGGTCGGCCTGCGAAATTTGGGCTACCGATATCCATGCTGAAAATTCCATACTTGTACCAAAAATACGGTGTGGAATCAAGCTGTAATCAAAAATAAATAAAAATAAGATATCACATGCAAATGGCATATTATCATCTGAATATTTTGTATTTCTGAAGGAAACCGTTGCTAATTTTAACCTAGAGTGATGAATTTAATCCATAAGCTCCCCCTTTCCAACAAGTTCTCCTGAAGTTTACTTTTACAAGCTAAAAATCTATTTTACATTATCTCTAGTAGGTTGTAGGCGGCTGATCGAATTAGTACGCTTACCACATAAAACAACTCAATTATCTACGGGGGAATTAAAATGTAAATTATTCAACTTGAACAAATGTCACTTTTAAAAGAGATTACTATTTCAAATACTTCTGAATATCAAGTTTATATTTCAACTCTGTTCACCTTAAAGTAGCCCAGTTTATTGAACTATAACACTCTCAGATAGTTTAACCAACAATTTAAATATATACGATTTAATCACTGTCACCAGTGAACCCACACTTCAATTCAAGGAAGCCATTAGGACCTAGTGTTGATATAGTTTTTATAACATCCAGTTATGTATGTCACTGTAACAAATAGGATCTAGGTTTGAAGTAACCAATTTTTAAAAATTAGATCATTAGCAACAAAGTTTTGGTAATAGTTATTGACACAAATCTACACAACATACTCGCATCCTATAGACTATTTATATTGGTACAGTTAACGTACGCTCGTTACTCTCTAGTGTCTGTTCATAGGTATTATATTTAAAATTATCTATTCATTGTTTAATGTAGACAGTATGTGTTCCAACAGCTTGGGAATCAAGCAGTCATTCAATAAACTACTGTTTACTCATAATGATCAATAAAATAAGGAGTTACACCCATATGATCGATGGATCATTAACTTGCTTGGTTGCATAACGTCAGTAATAGATTCTAAAAATAAAATAATAAATTTATTTATATGGAATGGAGGAGAAATCGTTTTTCAAAAACAAAAAAATAAACAAAACAGAATGAATATATTATTTAATAAGGAGGAAATGGTAACTGACTTTAGTACAAGAACGAACATGATGTCTTCACAATGCAAGTCGATAATTGTGTTCATTAAAGATAGTGTTGTGATACCAAGCTGTAAAATTAAGAAGTAAAAACAAAGTGATAAGATTGGGAGTTCATGGATCTACATATAAACAGGCAGTAGCATATACACAGATATATACGAATAGAAGTCAGCGACATATTTACCTTTGGAAGAAGAAAACGGAACTCATATTACAAGTTGTGAGATTCATAAGCCACTTCTTCAAACTCCAGATGGTGTATATTTTTCATGAAGCCTGATGAATAACAGTTCAAAACTGTATTACTTCGTTGATATCAGCTACTAGTGTGGTTGAGAAGGTGCGTCTCCTCTAATTCCCAACTCGTCACCTCGACGTACCTAATTTCCCAGTGAGTGCGGCTAGGACCTAGGACCCAGCATCTGTCGTTTCAAATGCCAAAGAGTTATCTAAAAGATTATTGAGTCACGAGAGCTACCCCTCGTACATGGGGTATCAACTATTATTTGCTGAGGTCCAACATCATAAAATAACAATAAATCATAATACAAACGACCAGTGCATAATAGTGGAGGTATAGCCCATCAACTGAGGTACACAATGATCAAGCAGAATTCAGCTCATGAATTATAGTATGAACAGTCATATAATACTGTGAGCTTTCATATGTATTAAGTGTTGGTCAAACCTAAGTAAACCGCATGGCATTTAGTCTGAAGACTACATTCATCTCCGCCTCGTATTAAATCCCATTAATAATGGGGACTTTATCAAACGCAGAAATATAATGAATCCAATAAACACCATCAATTGCAAATTTACACTCAAATTATTTTTTTAAACAATTCATGAATTATGATATGATTTGTATGTTTCGATTTGAAACTGATCTCGGTGCACTAAAGTGTATCGATTTAAGTTAACGCACTTCGGAGAAGCACATGAAAGCTGGGGAAGGAAATATAACTGTACCACAATGGGTGAAAGTGCTTAAGAAATGAGACTGTTAAATAACGATTTGTGAGGATTTTTAAAACTTGGAATAAGTTTAGGAATGAATGTGTCTCCACCATCGAGATCAAAGAGTCTCTAAACATTTACTCTTAACATTTCGATGACTCCAACCATAAAAGCAATGCATACCTTCGTAGTTTAGACCATAGATCGTTGATCAAAGACTACTGCAACGATTAGGTAGTTGAACTCCTACATCCTAATAAGCCATACATTTCTCCAGACCCAGGAAAGAATGCCTTGGATTTTATCATGTCAGAAAGGTCATTCGGATAGACATAAGAATGAAAGGAGTTACTGATTACCTATCTCCAGTAATTCGTAGCGAACACTGTTCTCAGCGAAGTTTAGTTTTTGAGAGCAGTTTTAACAGCTTCATGTGTGGCTGTGAGGTACACTGATCGTGAAATGGCTAAAGTAAGCGATTATTGGTTCAAACTCATTCTGCTGGCTGAAACACAAATGTTTAAGCTAATTAGTAGAAGAATGATACACCTATACCTATCGACTGGGTAATCCAGCATTAGTGTTCAGGAAAGCTGAACACATCTTAGTCCTTAGAAAGACAAGAAGGTCATAGAGTCTCATTCTTTAACTCTATCACTCGAGCGTCCTTTTTGCTAGTGAACAATTCGTTTAGTTGGTTAAATAATGTAACTTAATTTGAGACATGAAATCGTAGGTTTGAAATATTCTCTACGTAACTTTTTAGGTTTTAAATAATACCGAGATCCAAGGTATGCTTTATCTGACATGTCACTTATTCTCTAGATGTACAGCATTCACACTGAAGAAATTCTAATTCTTCAGATAAATCCTGGTAACTTGATTACCTAAGTGGTTTAAAAATCGATCAAAACACATAAGTGAATAAAATTGATTATTATTGACTAATTAAATGTCAGTTTGATTGTATGACACCGCCCAATTTTTAATTTCTAAATGAACACTAATGTTTAAGCTATTGAAAACAGAATTCATTATAATAGAGGAATTATTCCCATAACTTTAGTAACAAAATAAAAGCTCCAGTGACACAGCAATGTTTACTGTAGGTAAACATTCAAAGATTTTCTGACGAAAATTTTATTTGTTGGTTTATTCTATTCCTAAGAAATGTCTAGTAGAGTAAACAGGATGTATAGGTAAGTGAAAGGAAGGTCATGTCCGTTTCAACAATGACCATTCCAAAAGGAAATCAATACACTATATAATACAATCACACCCAAATTATGAACTATTCTAAACTTTACCAATTCAAAAAAATCATTATGCTAATACTAATAGAGAATTCCACTTTCTTCTAACACTTATAATAATTTCTGCGAAATTAAAAAAAAGTGCAAATATGGTCAAGCTGTGTTATAATAATAACAATAATATACATAGTGCATTTTGAAAAACTCTTTTAAACATGTAACATGGGAAATAGAGCAAAAAGATAACAGATGATCTCTTTGAGTGAAAAATAAATTTAGTATTCCATTGGTGAGATGTTTTATGGTCTAAGAGGCTTTATAACAGTGTAAACCAGTAACGATTTATTCCGTGGATTATAACATTCTCAGTATCTCCTTTTGCAAACCACTTTTTCCGGAGAGCATAAGTTTGATAACGCATGTAATATTACTATTGATCCCTTGGATTCTGCGTGGAAAATAGAGCCTCAACACCACATCACCACTTTGTCCTGTTCTCTGCGGTTCCCTTCAGCTGATCTCGCGATTGTCCATAGTCTCTAGTTCCCACCTCTCACGATCTCCTTCATGTCACTCTCAGATGCTCAACCCATCGTTTCCCATTCGGTTTCCAATCGGGTGCTGGCAAAGCGCGATGGCACCCAACGGTCTCCTCAGTGTGTGTCCGATCCACCTCAATTTTCTTCGGCATATTTGTTGAGCAGTAGGTTGTTAGTTGGTTCGTTCATTCCCAGAGTTCCCTGACACTTTTCCCTTCCAACTGGCCATCTGATCTACAGTATGGAGCCAGCGAAGGCAGCTGTTGACAAAAGTCTGCATCAGACTGTTGGAAACGTTTGTCGTGACGCGTCAAGTTCCTGACCCATATAGAAGGACTGACTTTAAATTACTGTTGAAAATCCGAATTTTGTTCTTTGTGCTGAGTGCAGTAGCTTTCCAAACTGATTTCAGCGTGATGAAGGTGTGCTTTGTCTTTCCGATTCTGGTTTTGAAATCTTCAAACGTGCCGCGTGTAGTTGAAACGATGCTGCCTATATAAGTGAAGGAAGTGACCTCTTTCAAATTTCTACTGTCACTGAGAACGATTTTGAGCCGTATTTAACAATAGTCTTGAGCCACCGGTTCTTAGCACTCCGATGATCCAAAGCAGGCAGTCCACACTTCCTTATGTGGCTAACAGTGAAGTGTTATGGAGCGATGTCAAAATTTGGTTTGATTACCTCTAACTCCTTTCCAATCTGATTTTATGTCAGCTGATCTTATCCATCTGGGAAGACAATGGCTACGTATGAGTAAAACATGTCTTAGTCGTCTTCCTCAATGTAGTTCCATAAGTATGCCTACTGATTTCCCCCGCTTACCTGGGACTCCGCGCCTAACTTCAATATTACTTACCCCTCAGTATACCACCTATATGGGAGACAAAAAGCAGACACCCGTGATCAAAGACAGCTAACCTTTGCATGTTTTCCCCTTTCAATGACCATGTTTCACAGCCATGAAGGATGACGTAGTGAACTGCTGAGTAGTACACACGTCTTTTGGTCAGAAGCCGGATATCACGTCGACGCCAGAGGTGACGTAAGTTAGCAAATGTCACACCAGTCCTCTGTGTGACATGCACGATGATCATTTGCCATGAAAGATTCATATGTAAAAATTAAATTTTGAAACCTCAGCGGAATTGATGTAAATAATTCCAAAGTTTCTCTTGGCAAACTTGTCCGAAATTCTTCAGGGGAAATTAATCAAAATTAAAACCAATGAGTGCACATCTCTTACAAAACACTATCCAACTATCTTTATATTCAGTCTCTAAAACTTAGTGTGAGTATGATGAAGTATTGTCAGATTACATTTGGAACATGAACTTATGTTAAATACCTTCAATTTGATGGTTTTATGAAAGTGTCTATTGTGTAGGAGGGACATCGGATAAACATGATATTTATCTTAGTCACTAGGCGGCTGAGGATAATGATCACAGAACTCAATAAAGATAGTATACAATTTTCGTCTTAAACTGTGGAAAAGTGCATTAATCTGACTAACTCTAAATTAAGTTGAAAGAGGAATGAACTTCATCACTGAAATTGGGTATTACTCAACGACAGTAGGTATTCAGTGAAGCTTGAAACTGGATTTGCAATAAAGTAAAAATTTGAATGTACTTTGACGCCACCTCAAATGGTCTCTGTGCCAATTAATAGCCTGCTTCTCTAATTCCAAATTTATATGATTAGGGTTGGCAGGAGGTATTCTAGCTGGGTAGCTAATGCGATCGAAGAAGGCTAGTTACATATCATTCATCCTGAAATAACTGGGAAGATTTGTAGCTCAGGTGGGTGATTTGGAATTAATAGTGTTCTCTGAGCTGTTGGTTTATTTGCGGAGCCTTCGTTGTCCTTCTGGACAACATCTTCAGCGCAATTTTTTTATGTTTCTCACTTTCGATTTATCGTTTTAGTGAAACTCTTAATTTATTCTTAATCTCTCAGTAGAACAAATGCCTCCAAGGTAAGTGAGCAATTTTTGTTTTACAATAGTCGATCGTGAATTTTCTCTTTAATTCGTCTAACTGTATTTTTATCTGATATTAAGGAGACGAAATTACTATAGTGGGAAACTAGCAAGTGTTTTGAATTAGTTGAAAGAGCCTAGGGTTTTACAAAAAGTTGAGATTAATGCTGTAAAGGGAAGCGAAGAGACATTTTATTTTGTAGATTTTCGCCCACTCGAATTTGTTTAGTATGTACTGTCATCTACCTGAAAACATCTAAGATATTTTAATGGTTCACATTAAACTTCTCACTGCACGGACAAAAAAAAGCCGATCAATAGGTAAAAGTCATATATATATATATATATGAATGTAGTTGCACAGGTTATGAAATATGTAACAGTGATAGGATCCCCTACAAAATAGTATACCATCATTTCCCACACATATTGTAACTTGTGTGATCAATTATTTCCCATAGCTGAGCCAACTTTATTGTTCTCAAAATGTATATATAATATGTGTCGTTTTCCTGATAAATATACGGTACAGAACAGTATCTTACAGTCACAGGCTAGCCTTTGTCTTGTGATATTTGTGTGGCTCAGTGAATCGGAAGGTACAACAGACAAATAGGCATATTAGTGTGCCAGTCGAGTTCACTACCAATATTACCAGTTAGCAGGCGCGATTATAATAAAGTGGCGACAGGTTTATTCAGTTCAGTGCAGTTATAACAAACAAGCGACGGGGTTTCATTCATTACATATATAACAAAGTGGAGACTGGGTTTTTATTCTCTTCAGCGCAGCCATAACACATTTTCGACTGTGTTAAGTTCAATCCACTTACAATGTCGATCTCTCTAGATGATCTTAAAACCATCTTGCAGAAGCAACACGTTCAAAATGAAGCAGCTCAAATAAAATTAATCGAAACTCTCACTCAGAAGCTGACCATTTAAGTTCCCCAAACATCTCAGACAAATATGAAAGTACTGTGCGTCGGTGGCACAGTGGTTAGGACTCTCGCCGACCATGCACATGGTCCAGGGTTCGAGCCCACGCCGGCGCACACCTGATATCTATGGTCGGCCTGCGAAATTTGGGCTACCGATATTCATGCTGAAAATTCCATACTTGTACCAAAAATACAGTGTGGAATCAAGCTGTAAATAATAAATAAAAAAAAATTAAAAAAAAAGTATCTTAAAATTCTATCAGCGAGCTCAACTACGATCCAATATCTGCTCTCGTATTTGATGCATGGTTCAACCGATATGAAGACGTTTTCCGTATTGAATGCGCCATGTTTGATGATGCTGCTAAAGTTCGAATGTTATTGCGAAAACTTGTTACTGTCAAGTACAACACATATGTTAATTTCATTCTGCCAAAGAATCCGCGTTAATTTTCTTTCGATGAGACAGTCACCGTTGTATCCCGAATTTTCGGTGAACAGTCATCCATGTTTAATATTCGGTATCAATGTTTTCAGTTAACAAAAATACCTTCCGATGATTATGTCACTTACGCTGGAGAAGTGAACAAGGTATGTGAAAGATTCAAAACACATGAGATAACATCAGATCAGTTCAAGTCTTTGATTTCTATTTGTAGTTTGGAGAGCCCTAGAAGATGCTGATATAAGAACGAACTTTTGTCACTCGTGGGACAAGACCCAAAAATGACTTTGCAAATGGTAACAGCAGAATGCCAACGCTTGATCAACCTGAAACACGACACTGCTATGGTGGAGTGCAAACCACAGCCGTCTGAATTTAGTTCAGTCAACGCAGTGAAGACTCCACAGACCACCGCTACGCACACAACACGTCAGTCTCAAAATTCAGCTAAACCTCCGTCAGTGTGCTGGTACTGTGATTCCTTGCATATTCCCAAATTTTGTCAATTCAAGAAACATATATGCCGCAAGTGTCACCATTTTGGACATAAAGAGGGTTACTGTCAACCACCAAAAAACCCTCCGGTGAGGAACAAACGTAATCCTATGAAGCCGAAACAACCCCGTCGAGTAGAGACCATTTTCGCAACGCCCAAAGTCCATTTTTCCCAGTAGACAAAAGTATCTTACTCTCTCTATTAACAGCAAACCTATTTGTCTTCAGTTGGATACAGTGTCTACCTCAAATAAGTTACCAATTAGCAAGCGCATACATAAACAGCTGCAAATAAATAAGCTTCGGGGTTTACATGATGATCTGTAATGCAACAGAGCATAACACTGACACTTATTTGGTATACTAGGGGGAATAATTTTGTTTATCAATATTAACTATCAGCGGAATATTATCGTGTAGTTATTAAGTTGTCTTTTAATAAAGCCACCCACTTATGTGATACAAAATAAGAATTCTTACAAAATCATAGGAACATTTTTTCCTTTTATGGATACAAGGTGAAATATGTTTAGGTGTGTATAGAAAAAACACAGAAACAAAGTATTATGGAAATGACACACATACTCAGACAATTATATAACGAAGGTAACGGTAAATATGTAGGACAGAAAATGCAATAGGAATGAATATCACAATTATATTAAAACTTACTAAACTATTGCACTGATGTATCCGAGCGATAATCAGATCCATATAAGTTATGCTAGACACCGAATTGGGATGTTGGCTATCATTATTATTATCGCTTTCACCTTTATGAAGATTGTTTTCAGTAGATTCACCAAAAAATTCTGATGAAGTGACATCATTTACAGATATACGACTGGCTAGAGAGCATTCAGTAGAACCATATTGATTATTATTGTCATCATTATTACTCCCTTCAAATGCTGAATATTTTACTTGTGAACTTGAATCAAGCAAAATATGAGACGGTAATTTCATTAAAAGAAATCGTAGTAATATTGGTAACAGTGATGAACCGACAGTATGAATGATATACTGTTCTAAATAAACAGTAGCCGTGATAACATCTTCAGCAGCTCTCTATTGAGATAATTAGAAGTAATGCAATAAGGCACAATAATCAAAGTAAATTGAGGTAAACATTTCACTTTAAGAAATACTATCAGTCACAGTAAGTCTAACTATTTAACTTGACTAAACTATCGATCCTATTGTAAAATCTGTGGCAGAATGTAGATGATAAAGTTACTACATAGAGGCTTTACAATATAACAAAGGCTAACTGGAAATCGAAAAGCACCATTGTTTTTCTTACTGTTATTGTTTAATGAATGACTAATGATGAGTTCCTGTTTAAAACAAATAACAGCCACAAATTCCGTGTACAAGGGAATACTTAGATTACATTACTTGAAAGTTATCGTCAGTGGTTCAGTGGTAGAATGCTCGCCAATCACACATGTGATTCAGTGTTCGATACTCTGCTTCACTCTAACTTCACCCAGTTTACAAGTCGATAGTAATGTTGGATATGAGATTCTTTAGAAATACATCAAGCTTAATGTAACTTCAAGGTTTAAAGCCTGCAGCACTATGTTCCATTTGGAATGCGAAGGAATGAAATCAAGCACGAGTGATAAGTGAATGCAATTAATAGCGAATAAACTACCTACACATCTATAAATATAAATATCAATAATATTAAATATTATTGAAGTGACATGAAGGATTTCATCATGAACTAGTCGGGTAAACTGGGCTAGGAGTGAAGACAAATACGCACTAATGAAATTCGCTAGTGGTCACACCATACTGTGGACTCGCAGAAGTTGGCCTAATGGTTTACGAGCTCTCCCTGTAACCGGAAGGTCCTGGGCTCGAATCCCGGTGGGCGTGCACTGATGAAGAGTCCCAGACTAGGACGAAAAAGCTGTCCAGTACACCCTGAAGGTTTTCCAATGGTTCTCTGACCGATGTCAGTTCATGATAAAATCTTGAAACTAATCAAATCCCTACAAACCTACACGTGAATTGGTACTCACTGAAAATTGTTCCTGTGATCAGCTAACAATGTTGATCACTCAGATCTATGCTTTACACTGTGCACAAGACATGTCTGGGCCTACTTTGTGCGATAAGCAGAAAGCAAACTTATAAGCACTACATGCTACCATTAATATAAGCAGATATCGAAATTAAGCTTTATATTTTTCTATCTCAAACTTGCTAACTACGAGAGAGTGAGTGAAGCACAATAGTTCCCCTTCAACACTGAGTTAGCAAACACAATTGATTGTATTCCTACGCTTCAATGCAGCAAGAGATAAATTAAGAAAAGATATTAATATACTTGCTTCTTTCGTTACTGATGAGAAGACGAAAATTAGTAGTAAACGACATGACCTTATTTATTGAGCGCATACTGATGTATTGTAAATAATAATAAAAATACAAGAAGTACAATAGATTTTCAATTTTTTCTACTGAAAAAATCTGCGTTTACATCAACCAGATAATTCACTAAGTAAATAGAAAGTTATGATACACTGAGATAAAAAGATAAGATAAAACAAGTTAATAAATGAATTTTCATTTTGAGATAATTTAAGTTGATAAAAAACTTTTTATTTCTTACAACAATACACTACACATTTACTCATTGGTTACCAGATAATAATAATAATCACACGATTGCACTATTTATTATTATTACTAGACAATCTGTTCGCGTATATTAATCTCACACCTGGAGCGGTTACTTACATCTTGAACAGTTTCAAATACAAAGTGGATACAGAGGTGATGAATTATTTTTTCCAAGTAAAATAAATTAATGTGAGTAAGAGGAAAGCTGAATCAGCATACACTCAATGACCGAAAATACAACTATTTTGAGTACTAAAACAAAAGAAAGACAGTAAAGCGAAAGGAGAATTTTCTTCATCGAAAAAGTCATCTTCAAAGGCTGTAAAGTATGTATTACTGAGCAATATATATATATATATATATATATATATATAATTTCTTTACGCTCCCAGTGCAACAGAAAGCTTTAAGCTAGAGGCTTGAAGTTTCCGTAGCAGTGGTGATCACTTTTACAGGATGGGGTTGCTAGCCTCATGCTCAACCTCCCCTCTTTACAAGTCTTATTACTGGCTTACCAAGGTGAAGGAGTGCGTTGGCAGGGGATCGAACCCCGGACCACCTGCGTGGTTTGTGAGTACTCTACCAGTGTGCCGCCGACGCACAGTGAGCAATATATGGTGTGACACAACTGATTCAGTTACTCAGATATGGCTTCTAATATTAGGAAGAAATAGCGTAATAGTACACAGTAGAATTAAATAAAAGTTTGAAATTTGATAAGATAGAAGAAATTCGTTATTGGATAAGAAGCATTTTAGTTGATCGCCTACCCGACAAGTTTGAAGAGGATGAGAATAAAAACAATGACTATTAAAATATACAAAATGAAACGTGTAGGAGTGATGATAGTGAATTACTTACTACAAAACAGAACCGAATAAGTACGCAGGTGTCCAATGGTGTGGTAGAATAGGAGACTGAAAAACGTTTACTGAACATAGTTTTCAGGTTTGAGTTGCTGAATTATTGGCGCCTTTACTTTACACAAGTGTTGAAAAACCTGGCATCTCTTGTATAGCTCAGACTAAGTCGGTAAAAAATGTGAATTGTCTTTTATATTCACCATGGTTTCATAAATATATATACTGAAATATCCAAATTCAAACTAAAAGCTACCCTTTTAAGTGGTATAGCTAAGAAACTAGTAGTAAAATAAATATAACAGAAATAATGAGTAAACAAAGAAGAAAACGTACCAAATATTCAAAGGGAGATGGAAAATAATTATATTTAAATGTATTAAGACCGAATTGTATACAAGTCAGTCAAAAACACTAACCTCCAATCTCTTTTATTCTAAATGGAACAAACGAAATATCCGCAGTTTGATGTGAAATTTAAATAAATAGGAGTAAGTTTTTATAGATTTGTGTGTTGTTACACAACACAGTTACTTTCATAACGCGAAAATGCTGTGGTCTTATTTCGAAATAAAACTTGGACGTCGTAGTATTCTTTGATTTTATAGCGGATTGACTTATTTTATATAGCATACAGTGATAAAGTACGATTTATTCGTGATATTTTAGACATAATTTACAGCTCAGAATCATATTAAGCTACTCATTTAACTCCCTGACTTTGTTTATGATTGCAATGATAACGCCATTTTAGATATCTCCAGTAATAGTATTGAGTCATCTGAAATTCACTCGTGGTGTTCACTTGATTAATAGAGATTCTGTGAACACCTTCTGTTCTCTTGAAACCGTATTAGCTTTTCAGTATGCTGATTTTTCTCGTACAATACAACTCTATTCAAAACACTTATCAGAAGAGTGGTATACCTAAACGAGTACGAACATATCTTAACCGAATTAGGCTAATTTGATAGAAGATATTTAGATGTGATAAAAATACTTTGAATGAGAAGGAAAACAAGAAATGAAAATTGATAGAAAAATTGACACACACACTGAGAAACTAAAGAAAAAAAAGCATATAAGCTTATTATATTTCAAGGTATTATTAGTCACAGGTTTATTGTCAGAATTATTTTTTTTTTTAATATCACCAATCGTCTATATTTGTCAAATCATGAAAACCTTAACCGCTCACTATCTTTCTCTTTTGCAATTCAACTTTAGATGTTTGAAGAATTGAATCTAGATGAGAAACATGCTTAAATGAAGTAACAGCAACAACAACAAGAATGATTATGACGACGATACCAAAGCTACTTCTACCACTAATAATAATAATAATAATGACAGAGATGACGCGAGAATATTAAGAGACATACACACTCTCCACTTCAATGGCAATACAATCATTGGAAAATTGATAATGTTCCTTAAGAGTAAACATTATGATCGTGAGTAAATCACTAATCAATTAATCTGGTACACAATAAATAATTAATCGATGAGCAAAGAAACTCAATGGTTCAAAATGAGTGTTGCACTCGATATATAAAATTTGATAATTCGATACAGTTGAAATGTTAAGAATTATGGCGCAATTAAAATTGTAGGATTAATATTATTTTTAAATATACACTACTTTAACGCAATTAAAATGGTATTACTAGCGCCTCTACCATCAAACGTACCTTGTACCGTTCGGTCTTACCCTGTAGATAATATTTAAAAAGGACTACTTCTAGTAATTCATTTAATTTCGTGAGCACAAAGTGGTATCAATTTCTCGAGTCAACTGGCTTTTTTTAGAAGATGAAGGTTAAGGTACCTAAATCTCCTACATCTGAATATTTACTGAATCAGCTGTTTATTTCATAGACATCATGCAGTGAGCACTGTTAGACAGTTTAAAGGGTGTTTCAGTGTAAACTAGTGTAGATGACTTATTTATAACACCTAGCTAGACTGAAAATTCACATCAGTCTATGAAGTCTACAACAGTGGGTTTGAGCCATGATGTAGTGAGATACAGATTGCTTGGTTGGAATCCTCGTGATGCCACGAACCGCTGGCTTGCGACTGTGGGTGATAAAGCCCAAAACTGTCCTCAGCTGTGCAAGTGCATTTACTTTTTATAACATTCCATATTCACTAAATTCTCTTATATCTCCGTGTTACTATTTGTTTTGCCGTACATTTCTGTCCATTGTAGTTCTTTTGAATATATTTCTTTCTTTTCTCTACCTTTATGTGTACATAAAGTGTGACAGTTTAAAATGATGCACTTCTGTTCAAAGGTCTGTGTTGAAACTCATTCAAACTGTTAGGGGATTTGACAAATAACCTCAGATTCGTATTCACAAGAGATTCTTGCACCACTTATTTCCTTACTATTCAGAGAATATCTAATAGAAAGCTCTCAAATGTCCTTATTCATTTCTTATCTAGTCACTGTATCCATCACGTTTATAACAGATTTGACTAAGGAATGAATTTATCAGTTAACATTATGACACCTTTATTCATTCCGAAAATTTGATCTATTTTGGCTCTCTAAACCGTTTTTATCATAAC